AAACATGGTTATGAAATAATAGCTGTGTGGTGGTGAATTGTTACTGAGCCTCAATAGCAGTAAAGACATGCGTTGCAGTTTTATTCCTTTAGCACATTAGTATTTGTCACGTTCCAAAGTTTTTGGTGCATTTTAGATTCACAGGTTATAAGGCCAGAAGGAATCACTGGGAACATCTACTGGGAAGGAAAATACGTTTGGTCCAAAACATTCTGCCTCTCTTTTGTTCATAAATGAAGCTTGGCAAATTCACGTTGTTGGATAAGCCCCCTTTCCAGTTTGCATGGCTGGGGGCTGTATTCATGCATTGCCTTTGACAGAGAACATTCTCATCACACCAGAGTAAGAGCCCTGGGTGGGCTTAAAAGCCTTGAAAACCATTTTGAGTATTAAAAATCTGGAATAAAGAGGCATTTTCCTCTCACTGATAGCCACATGGAATTACAGGTTGGGTGGGATTTTTAAAGGCATGTGAGGGATCTTGGTGCCTGACTTCCCAAGACTCCTCTGAAAATCCCAACTGTGAACACTACAGGTACAACCCCAGATGAGATTTCTGTGACCTCTGGTTTAAAATTCCTAGGCTGCAATATGCACATTCCACGTCTGAAAGCTCAACCTGCATAGAAAGGTAATCAAATATGCCACCAGAAACTTAAAAGCCACTCATTTCTTAGAGGATCTTAATGCAACTCATGAATTTTAAAAAACAGCTGCACAAATCCTTTAATTATATCCCCACTTCTGCATCTCTTTAGATTCTGATCTTTGAAGGAGGAAAATATAAATTATTTTAACACAGAAAATTAACAGATTCTCTCAGTTAAACTTGCCTAACCCTTTTGCATATTTGAATGGTAGGAAGCTTAGAAGAGCACAGTCCCAGCACTCTGAGTTAGCTGCACACCATTTATCTGCCACTGTGCTGAGGGACCAAAGCAAAGATGAACTCAAAACACACTAAGATACATGAAGGATCCGCCAATCAGAAAGAAGTAAGAAACCGGGAGAAAAACTCCCAGCACGTGTCTAATGCTGTCACTCTCCTTCTTCTCTGAAGCAGAGGCACAGAAAATCAGGATGTGTTTTAAAGAAAAACAAGAAAAAAAAGTCTGAAAGCTGCTATTAGTGCACCAAAACCATTTTCATGAAAGAGCAATTTGGACATTTCAAGTAATTTCTCTCTCAAGGAAGGGATTAAAGGAAAACATTTGTAAAAAGCCTTAACATTTAGAACAGTGTTTCCCAACCAGTGTGCTGCAGCACAAAAGTGTACTGTCAGAAGTTAACAGGTGCGCCACGGAATTTTGCCATGGCAATGAGCTACAATAGATATGAGGATGGGGAATGCCTTAACAGGTGTGCTGCAGAAAATTTTTATTACTGCAAGTGTGCCTTGGGTTGGAAAACGTTGGGAAACGCTGATTTAGAACATGGTATTATTTATTACATGCAGTCAGAGATCTCAAAGATTTTAACACTGGGTAATATTTGGGTCAAGATTTTCCAGTTTTACATAGAAAACTGTAGTATCTGGAAAGCCAAGGGCATTTTGTAAATGTTCAATTGAGAGGCACCTCCTTCCATGAGCTGTCCTGAGGCATATGCCATGAAAAAAAAGCATATTATTCAATGCATTTACAAGGACAGTTAAAGACAAATGCCACAAACAACAACAAAGACCCTGCTTTAAAACAATAGACTACATTGTTAGTGGCAGCCTAACCAAGAAGGAAGAGCAACCCACGCTGAAGCAGGAGATGAAGGGAAGACAGTTAAAATCCACTCCTGATATCAGGGCACCAGGGAACAGGGAGCATCCTGTCAATTGTCAATTGATTTGTAATAGTTGGTCCTGCTGA